TTGGTATTAGGTATGGTATTTGGTATTTTAAAATAAAATACCGAAATACCAATACCATACCGAAATATATATTATATTACACAAAACACATATTATCAATTATAACATAAATATAAAATATCTATAATTTAACTTTCCTACATTCTCTAAGTTCATCAATTAACTCTAAACAAGTAACAAGACATTTCTAATGATCAAATATTCTTTTGTGTACAATTTTCTCTATTTGGGTCGATATTTGCTAGTTTTGGACAAAATTTTTGTCAACAAACATTTTCAGTTTTGTATTTTTCAGTACTTTAATTAAGAATATTAGAGTCATGGCTCTATGCACTAGTTAGCATTCAAACCGAATAAATCGAAGTTACCGAACCGAATAAACCGAAACCGAAATGAGAAAAACCGAACCATACCGAATTTAATTAGGTACGGTATTGGTATAGGATTTTAAGAAACCGAATACCGAAAATACCGAACCGAAATGTCTAAATACCATACCGTACCGACCGACGAACACCCCTAACCCTTTGTGCTTTATCACTCTTTCCTCACCATATGCATAAGTATGAATGTGCACGGCATCACCCTTCGTTCTTTATCTCTCTTTTCTCACCCAAACAATAGCAACAACAACATTCCGGCAACAGAATCAACAACAAGAATAAATACATCCGGCAAGGGAATCAACAATAAGAATTAAATATGTCCCGGCAAGGGAATCAGCTATAACCAAACTTGTACCAACAATTAACTTTACAAATGAACCTCAACTGGAGCCAATGCTCAATAATAAACAAACACCAAGAAGATAATCATAATTCTTGCTCAACATGGATAATCAACAATTTAGGCATTTGTAGTACTTATTAAGAAACACAACGATCCCAATTTAAGACTCACGGGCATGCTTGACACCAACGTATAGATACTCGTCAACACACCTATACGTTGTACACTACGCTAGCACATAGCAAATAAGGCACAATACCTATTCCCTCAAGCTAAGGTTAAGCCAAATACTTACCTCGAACTTCCACGGCCAACTCAAGCCTAAAACACCGCTTTTCCTTTTGATCCCACTTCCAATTCAATTGTATCTAACCCAAATTAATTAACAACATCAATAAATGCTAAAGAATTCACACTCAATGCTTAATTTTAGGTTTTCTATCATTTTCGCCAAAAAGTCAAAAATTGACCCCGGGCCCGCTTGGTCGAAACTCGAGGTTCGGACCAAAACCCGATCACCCATGAGCCCGAATATGGAATTAGTTTCGAAATCCGACCCCAAAACGAGGTCTAAATTCCAATTATTCAAAAAGCCCTAACTCTACCCAAAATCCCTAATTCTACCATGGAAGAATAAGATTTAGGCCTAGAAATCTAATGGGTGTTGATGAAAAAATGAAAGAAATGAGTCTAAGAACACGTACCTATGGTTTGGTGTTGAATTTGCTCTTCAAAAATCGCCTAAGGTCTGATTTTGGGGAAGGAGATATGAAATTATGGCTTAAATCCCGTTCTGCCTCTGTTTTAAATCGCTGGGCAGACCTTCTTCGCGTTCGCGAAGGGTCTGTCGCGTTCGCGAGATGCAGCGGCCACAAGCCTTCGTGTTCGCGTGATACCCATCGCATTCGCGTGATNAACCTCCATGTTCGCGATCCACATGACGCGTTCGCGATGAGTATTCCACCCCTCCCCCAGGTCCCTGCCCTAATGGCCTTCGCGTTCGCGATAGCCAGGTCGCGTTCGCGAAGGGTAACTCCTCCAACGCTCCGCGTTCGCGACCTGTGCCTCGCGTTCGCGTAGAAGGAATTTCCTTCAGACAACTTTTACTCTTCGCGTTCGCGAGAGTCCTTTCGCGAACGCGTAGAACAAAATACCAGCACACCAGAAGCAGCAATACAGCAGAAAATCTTAAGGTCAAAACACCCCGAACCCCATCCGAAACTCACCCGAGCCCTCGGGGCTCCAAACCAAACATGCATACCAACCTAAAAATATCATACGGACTTACTCGTGCGATCAAATCGCCAAAATAATATCTAGAACTACAAGTTTAGCATCAAAATCAAAGAAAAATCTCAAGAACTCTTAAGTTTCAAATTTCACAACCGAGGGTCCGATTCGCATCATATGAATTCTATTTCTTACCAATTTTTACAGGCTCAACTTAAATACCATGTAAGACCTATATCGGGCTCCAGAACTAAAAATACGGGCCCGATACATCAAATTCAAACACATTTAAATTTCCAAAAACTCTTATAATTTCAGTTAAACAATTTTCTTCAAAAATTTATTTCTCGGGCTTGGGACCTCGAAATTCAATTCCAGGCATACACCCAAGTCCCATATTTTTCTACGGACCCTACGGGACCGTCAAATTACGCGTCCGGGTCCGTTGACCCAAAATGTTGACCGAAGTCAACTTAAATTCAATTTTAAAGACAAAATTAGCATTTTTATCTCACTGGTGTGGTGAGATAAAAGGAGATTTTTAAGGCCTCGGAACACAGAATTGACTTGTAAATCAAGTGATGACCTTTTGGGTCATCACAATAGTCAAATTTGGTTTTGTAGTATTATAAATAGGGTGCTATTACATATTTTTTTTATTGTGGAGAGGTAGCTATGATGTAGAGAGATTCAAGAGTTTATGAATTGTGAAAAACCCTCCTACCAAGTTCTCTCCCTAGTTTAATAAATTTCTTCTATATAGCTTTTACTAAATTTCTTGCTTGTGCCTAAATTGTTCTTCGGGGTATTTCAATCCTTCAAATTGGTATCAAAGCTTATGTGAGATTCTGTTAGAGCCGATAGGAGATCCAACAAAATTATGGATACTTATTATCTAATTGTCCCGTTTTTGTGTTTGATGGCAAAAATAATTTTGAAATTTGGTATCAAGAGATGAAGAATTTTTTTAAGGCTATTGGATTATGGTCCCCCATTGATGAAGGATTTGAGGAACCCCTAGAAGGCACAACGTTGACAGGTGATGCAGCTACACAATTGGAGAAGAAGAGACATTTAGATTATAAGGCACGCTACTATCTCGCCATCAAGGTCGAATTGTATGTATCTAAGAGATATTTGCATGCAAAGTCATCAAAGGAGGCTTGGAAAATCTTGGTGAAGTCATATCGAAGAGCTGCTGACATAAAGAAGGAGAAACTGCAAGAATTTAGGAGTCAATTTGAGTTGGCTTACATGAGACCAACATAGTCCATGAAAGAATATTTTACAAGAATTGAAGAAATAGTCAATTGCTTAAGGACCAATGGAGAAGTATTGGAAGAAGTTAAAACTATTGAAAAAATATTGCAGTCTCTCAGTTTAAAGTTTAACAACAAGAAAGTTATTCTTGAGGCTTTCGAAGATCTTAGCACTCTCAGACTTGTTGATTTAGAATGCGAATTGGTGACATACGAGAAATCACTGAATCAACAGAAAGATGAGACATTGGAGGAGGAATCGCAAGAAAAGGATGAACAACCAAAAGGAAAAGAAGGCACACCAATAATGGCGGAGATAAATCAAGAAGGCCAAAATTCAGAAACAGACGAGAAAAGAAGAGAAGGTACATATAATTTTTGTTGTGATAGAGATTCTATTGAATGCGAAGGGAAGTCAAATAATATTCAGCCAAAAATTTCTCCGGTTGTTAAAAATGATGATTTAGTTGCAAGGGATGCCAGTACAAAAAGGTTGGTGTTTTACTTCAAAAGTTATTTGATAGTATTGAAGATGAACCTATTAACGAAAAAAGCAAGATGGTTCATCAAGAAAAAGTCTCTGATGATCTGCACAAGATTGAGACAAAAATAGCTTGGGATCCAGAACTACAACACATGATTATAGATATTGAAGATGAAATAAATTTTATGCCATTGTTCGAGATTACATGTTTCAAGGAGCAAGGCGATATATCTATTGGTGGCATTACTCTACAACCTATAGAATGTTCAATTGGAGTTGAATGGGTATACAAGTCCAACTACAAGGCAATTAGAGAAGTAGATGATTTCAAAGTAAAGGAAAAATATGTTGATGATATTTTGAAGGAATTTACCAAGGTTATATCCAAATCATATATGACCAGTATTGAAGAGAAATTGAAGTTAACTAAAGATGATACTCGTGATTTTGTTGATGCTACATTTTTAAGGAAATTGGTGGAGAGTCTAAGGTACTTGACTTCTACAAGGCTTGATGTTACTCATGGCATGCTCAAGTTTGAAGATCTTGGTTTAAGGGAGGTTGTTGGAAATTAAACTTAAGATTAATTAGTATTCCTAAGTTGTCTAGGATTTAGTATTTACTAGTTTATTTAATTTATGTCTAATTAGGATTCACGATCAAAATCACGTAGGAATAAGTTTTCTAGATTATAGTCAAATTTGGTTTTGTAGTATTATAAATAGGGTGCTATTACATATTTTTTTATTGTGGAGAGGTAACTATGATGTAGAGAGATTCAAGAGTTTATGAGTTGTGAAAAACCCTCCTACCAAGTTCTCTCCCTAGTTTAATAAAATTCTTCTATATATCTTTTGCTAAATTTCTTGCTTGTGCCTAAATTGTTCTTCGGGGTATTTCAGTCCTTCAAAATAGTATCCAAGGGTGTGGTCTAGTTGTCAATGAGCTTGGTTGCGAACCATGCGATCTAAGATTCAAATTTCATCGGAGGCAAAAACACGAGGTGATCAAAAACGCAAGCTAGTCCGAACACCATAATTGTATGAAAAAGTTTTTCAAATAAAAAAATATTTCAACTCACAAATCGTTAATTTTGACATACTTTTTCAAGTGAAGTTATGTCCAAACCGTAAATTAAGTAGTAATTCTATTCAAATATTTATTTTTTAACATCGACCAAATAAGAGGAGTATTAAAAGTAATATAATCAAAAGCGATGGATTAAATTGACTTCTTAAAACAAATCAGGGACTTGTGGTTAATTTCACTCTTTTGGAAGAGAAAACAGGCCCATAACCCGAATAGTTCTTCTTCTAACAGTTTATTCGGAAAGCTCTAGAAGTCACCGATTCAGCGACTGCGAGAACTGAAGCATTTTGGAGAAAGGAAGAGAGATGGGAGGTGGACACGGACATGGCGTGACCTACAAAGGAATTACTATTCATCAGCCTAAGCGTTGGCACAGTGTCACCGGAAAGGGATTGTGTGCCGTCATGTGGTAATTTCCCCAAACCCTACCCTCTTTCCCTTCTCATTTCATTTTATCTTTTTCGATTGAATTTACGAGCTATGAATTTGATATTGTAATGTTTTTGGATCATAGATCTACGAATTAGATTAGACTGCTTGGAATTGAAATTGGAGAACCTTATGAAAGGGGAACAAAATGAGTAGTAGGTTTTTACCTTAGATACTTATGGTCTCGTTGTTGAAATGAAATGAATATGAAGGACTTGTTTAGCTGGCGCTAACTAGTTTGAGATTGAGGTGTAGTTAGATTGGTTGATTGATGTTTGATTTTTTGTTAATCAATCTGATTTGTGCTTGGTCTTTGAGTTAAAACTGAATCTTTCTCTGTGGGGTTTGTTGTTCTTCTCTGCATTGAACTATATATGTGGAAGTGTATAGCAACATGTGTTGATAATTTTTGTTTTTGGTTGACATTTTGGGGTTTGATTGGCTAAGATATGATGCTGCTTGTTTTGCATTCATGTGCTATTGAGTGAAGAATCCTTCTTGCTCTTTAATCATCTCTTGCTTCCTTGATGTGGGTGAAATTGTAATTTGCTCCCAAGGTTTGAGATAACGGCATATTGAGTTGCTTTTCAAAGTAAAGAAATTGTCAGTTTTATCAGGTCAAGGGGCATAACGATCTACTGTTGGATGAGCGAGTTAGAAGAAAAACTAGATTGTAGCTTAAAGTTATTGGCTTTGAAGTATTACAAGTTGCTATCACAAGGATGAGCGAGGCGTGATTCGGTTATCTCAGAGTGTAGTTTACATGTTCTACTTATCAAAAAAGAGTATAGTTTACTGTGTTAATTATAGGTTTCATGCCCCCTTATCTTCTCCATGGTCTGATTTATGCCCAATTTTAATTCGCCGAATTGTTTTATGTTCTAAAATTGAACCCTGGGATATTACATAACTTAGGCGTCTCTGGGGCTTGCACTTCAATTCGGCGGGTGTCAATGAGCTCCTGGATGGCCGTTTTCAAATGCCAGCATTTTTCTGTGTCATGTCCCGGAGCACCTGAGCAATACTCGCAACTCACAGAGTGGTCCAGATTCCTTGGGGGAGGATTTGGGAATTTAGGTTCAATCAGACTCAACATGCCCAACTGTCTCAATCTGTGGTATAAGTCAGTGTAAGATTCACCCAACGGAGTGAAAGTCTTCTTCTTCTGCAGCCTATCATTCTTAGATGCAGGGTTGGGTCGAAAACCGGTTCCAGTGGGGTCTCTGTTGGCTCTTGGGGGTGGGTAAGTGTTTTGAGCTGGGTAAGTATTTTGTGGGGTGGGTGCGCGCCATTGCGCATGGGTAGGAGGTTGGGGGTATGTTTGGGCATGGTGGACAGAGAAATGGGGGACATGAGGTGGGTAGTAGTGTTGCGGTGGGCCATATGGGTGTGTGGGTAGGTTTGGGGATGAGGTCGAGGTTGGTGATAATATGGTGATGGACCCCTGGACCAAGCTCTCGATTCCACTACTGCAACATCTTCTTTCTTTTTCTTTCCCAATACCCCTCCAATGCCGCTCTGGATGGCCTGGGTTGATCATGCGTGATTAAGAAAATGCACAATGAAGTGATTACCTCTTTTTCTTATATAAAATACATGTCTACAAGGAAAGTTTATATTTTGAAATGTGTTTTTTCCAGTGTTGAGGATGACATTTACTCTGAACGAAGTTCAACTGATTTATCTATTGTGCTTAGCTCCAACTGGTTAAGACCTGTTAAATGTATTAAACTTAAGACAATTACAAGGCTCGTATAGTGAGTGCATATGTTTAGCATTATATTGTCTGTAATGTGGCACACATAAATGTACGCAAGTAGCATTGAGCATTAGTCTTCCTCACGAAAAAGTGTCTGGGAAAAAAGGATCAATTACAATACAACAATAACAATAACATCCCAAGCTAGTTAGGGTCGACTATATGAATACTCTATCCGTTTTGCTTCATTTGGACAACCTGTATTTTGAGTGTCTATTGAATTGACACTTTTTCATGAGTTGGATATTGAAGTGATATTGTCTCTACATGGCCATGTGATGAACTTGGAATTATATTGAAGTGATATTGTTCGCTGTTCCAGCTTGTGTTCAGTGGACTTTAAAGATGGAAAGGAATTGAAGATTCCTCGAGGGGATAGCTCTGGCTATTCATAGACTGAATTTTATATGCTTACAGAAGTTAGCTTTTTGTTGTAAACAAAAATATATATGAGGGAGATGATATGATTGGATTTGTAAGTACTCTATATGCTTAGCGTGTTTGTTGTGCATTTGTATATCAGTACTTCCTGTGTGCTGTTTTGTAGTAATGAAATATTTATCTTACCTATCAAAAGAAAAAGATTCATCAAGAATGGACTATTTTCACGCTGGCCATCAAGCTACTACAACCCTCCTTTGTCTGGGGTTGAGATTGGCAATATGGCCAAGTTCACCCCATGCGGAGTTATACCAATTGCAATAAATAAATAAATAAAACAACAAACCCAGTGTAATCCCACATGCGGTGTCTGGGGAGGATAGTGTATACGCAGACCTTACCCCTACCTTGTGAAGGCTGATAGATCCTTGGCTTAAGAACAGTGAATAGGAAGCAACCAATAATGACAACAAGAAATAAACAAAAACACTACGTGTAATAACTAAGATCTAGAAATAAGAAATACAAGAATAGTACTAATACAGTAGTAAGAATAACACTACGTGGAATAACAAAGATCTGGTACTTATACCAATTGCAATATGGTTTCAAAATTAATGTTCCTGCTGCAATATGATGAGAGGCTTATACCAATTTGATTGGGGATTAACTTGCGAAATATGGCTTTACCTGACGTTATCTGAACTGCTAATTTTGAAACTTTTGAAGCACTGGAAGTGCTGCCTTTCCCTAAAGTTTTGCATTTTTGGTTTATCATCTGGTAAGCAATAGCCAGAAGGTATGCAGCAGGACAGATATCTTAAATGCTATATCCCTCAAGTATAAACTAATGTGCTAATATGCTCTGTAAATATTGGTAGGAAAACTCATTACTAATATATAGAGAACGGTGTATGAACTGTAGTCTGCATTTTTGTGGTATAATAATGGGAGAGCTTTATATATTGGTATACTTGTTTACAAGGTTTGTATTGAGTTAATTGGTATATACCTTAACACCATAATCTTTTTGTTGTTTCAGGTTTTGGGTTCTCTACCGGGCCAAACAAGATGGTCCTGTAGTGTTGGTGAGCCTCAATATTGTTTCATCATTTCCGACCTTTTCGTTTGGTTATATACCATTTAGGTAATTGTTAATATGATTTTTGCTGCTTAGGGCTGGAGGCATCCCTGGGACGGCCATGGCCATGGTCATGACCATTAGGTAATGTTTTTGCTACTTTAGTTGTGACTATGGAATGTGGTTTTTCTCACATTATGCTGGCTGGTTAGATCCGTCTTATTTTTTTTTTTGTGCTTAATGATGCTTCTCATCCAAAACCTTTTGTTTAGTCAATAACTTAACATTTATCTTCATTTAAACGACATTAGGAAGAAGTTTGCAAAACAGCAACTAGTTGGGAATTGGTAACTATATAAGCAAAGAGATTATTCCTTATTTTGTCGAAAAAATAATCATAGGGAGATTCATGTCAATATTGTTTTCTTCAGAAGAATGACTGGTTCATCTGATTAGCTTGATTGCTGCCAGATCATATCACCACCATCAGCATATTCCAACCTTTTGCACAATCTCTACTTCATTTGCATATGATCAAATGTTTACTGCTAGTATTGAGATGTAGGTTATCTTCAAGTAGGATGCTATTAACCATCAAAGTCTTGAGCTATCGTCCACTTTGTTTAACTAGGCCATTCTGCTGAATCATGCTAATTGATTTTGCAGATGTGCTGGGGAAGCTGTGGCAGGATTATAAACCAATATGCTCAATATCGATGTATTTTCTTGGAAATTCTAATGAATATCTTTCAAAACAGTTGTGTTTTGTGTTCAATAAATCCTATAAACTGGAGAACTTTTTATGGATGTCACTTGATTCATAAGATGCTTGGTTTAATCAACTCTTGAATCATATTTTGCATTATGATTGAACTGCTTTGCTTCTTTTGCACTGTTCAGTTCTCTTTGTTGATTTAACTTCAGAGTGGTGCATTGTTGGGCGCCTTAACAGGGTGATGGTGTATGCCTTTTGAGGGATATAGAGAATGTGCATCGAAAATGCCAAGCGTAATTTCATGGATTAGTTTAAATAGAACTAGTTGACGCTTTCTAGTATTTTATATTTGTAGCGTCAATTGACTCAATTCTAAAGAAGCCTTCTATCAAACATTAACAGTAGCAGATGATGTTAATATGAAGATTTAATTTTTAACATTACCAGTGCTCTGTACTAGTAGGTTAAAAGTTAAATTTAAGCGCGTGTGAGTATATAAGTAGAATTTGTATCAAAATGGATAAGAACCGTGTAACCTTAATAATAATAAAAAAAAGGTAGCACGGTGCAAAAAGCATTTCGTATTTAGAGTCCGGGCAATGGTTGCACGTTTTTGCATTCCGCATTTAGTGTCTGGGGAATGGTTGCACCACACGGGTCCGTATGACGTAGATAGTCTATCCTAATGCATGCGTTAGTGGCTAGTTTCACATGACTTGTAGGTCACACAGAAATAATTTTACCGTTATTCTAAGGCTCCCCTTCGTAACCTAAATTTGAATTGTCCTCTAAAAAGTTAAGACATTTTGGGACAACATCAAAGGCTCCTAAAGTAGTGATGCTTAATAAGAAATGAACAACAGGAGAGTTAAGTTATAGTATCTTCAAGTTTAGAATTAAGAAGACACAGGAAGGCGTTTAATATATTTAAAAGGGATTAGCTATATTTTATTGAGAAACAAATAAAAGAATTGAGTGATGCAATTAGCTAAGTCTAATCAGTTACAATTAGTTTAATCTAAACTCAGAATATCAATCCAGTATTAGATTCACCATCTGCAGTCATTGCTTCAATTGAGCTCTGCAGTGATCTTATACTGGCATTTCTAATATGTGAGTATATTGAGAAGCGACACTTTTGTCCAAATAAGCCGTCGAATAATACACTCTAATTCTCCTTCAAGATCTTCGATGGCAATTTCCACTGGTTCCAATCTTTTATTCGCATATTGCAGAGTCATTTCATCACATTTAGCCCATGAACTAAAGCTGTTCACTGTCATTAACTTTGATCCAAAATACCCTTTATTTGATTTCTTATTATTCGGACTTGGCGTTGACATAAGTGACATCAATGACTCCACAATAGACATAGTAGCAACTCTCACTTCCCTTAGCACATTCACAACTAGGGGTGTTCAAACCGAACCGGAAAACCACACCAAATCGAAAAATCAAACCAAATCGATTAAAAAACCCGACTAGGTTTGGTTTGACTTGGTTTGGTATTGAGTAATAAAACCCGAACCAAACCGACATATAAATATATAAATTTTACTTATATTTTAAGATCTTATATTGAATTTTCTTTAGAAAATATAGAAAGATTTGGGATCCTCTCATGTTTTAACCTTGAAACCGTACATTAATGAACAACTATTGTTAGACGACTAAGAAAATAACTATCATGTGTTACTAAAAAAATTCTCCCATTAGAATATTTTAATAGATCATATGTTTGTCAATTTTTTCAATATTTACTAAACATATATTCACTTATCAAAGCTTTATCTATAATTTTAACAAAGTAAGATGAAATAATATTCATGTAACAAAAAAACCCGAAAACCCGAAAAACCCGACAAAACCGAACCAATCCAAACCGATATAGTTGGTTTGGTTTGATTTTGATAAAAACCGAACCAACCCGGTCCATGTACACCCCTATTCACAAGTACCACTTAATTATTTTCATTGTCTTTCACTGATCTCTGGTTCGAGCCTAATGATAGTTTCGAGCTTTTCATTCCCTTTAAGGAATGCAAACGCTTCAAGATTTCTTTCTTCAACTTCTTTCGTTGTCTCAGAAAGTTCGAGGACCCATTGTTCTTGTCCGTGGTATGCGATTTCTCGTTTGACCAATGGTGAATGAAGCAATAAGTCGTTGCCTGAGTCTTGCATGTCTCTTAGAGCATCAAAATTTGGTAGTGCCATTGTATTTCTTTTCGTGCAATTTCTTGAAATAGACTAGAAAATGGCTAGGTTTGAACTTCAAAAACTTTTGAATTGGGATGAGACTGGTTAGATTAATGCTTTGCATGCACTTGTAACCTTTTTATAGTTTATGTAGAAAGGGATTAGAACGTGATCTCTAAGGGAAAAGGACACGAAGGATCCTTCTTTGTACGGACTACGGATACTACTTGTGTTCTAATTGGCAACAGCTAAATGTATTGTCCCCAAGGAAATTCCCTCCCAAAAGGGAAATACAAAAGAAGGAAGAAAAATATAAATATGATTGATTAGTCGATAGTATATTTTTGTAAGATATTGTTGTACAATTAAGTTAGAACAGTTATTTAATAAGATGCATGCACGAGGGGGAAGAACAACGCCAGTCTGGTGCTTAATTAAATTGTTTTTTCCCAAAAATATCTTGTACTTTGGGGCCCCGATTAATTCAGATTCGCTGCGCGTATAGGACTCACTAAAGAGGAAAGCGCTCCTTATCATTTTTCAATTTCAAGACTCGAACCCGATACTACTCGTTAAGGGTGGAGGAATCTTATCTATCCGCAATCCTTAGTGGTGCTTAACTAAATTGTTGCGTGCAGACAAATAACATGTTTGCAAAAATATTGAAGACTAAATAGGGGGCATTATGAAACATTAATAATTAAGCAACATGATTTAGCGAACTTCAACATGGTTTTAGAGTACTTACAACTGTTTATGTTTTTGTTTTCTCTGTTAATTAAGACATGACATCTTCCATTAAGATTATATTCTAACCATGCATAAGTGCGGAGAGCTTCCAAGAAAATTCTTCCAACATTGACTATATTTTCTCGTTGTCTTTTAGGGAAACAAACATTATAAGTTCTTGGTCTTCTTCTTCTTCTTTTTTCCCGAACATGATGCGTTGACCTACCTGGAATTCGTTTCTTATGAGGCCGGGGAATAAAAAGAGTGATAAATAGTAAAATGATGCAAAACAATCCAAACAACTAGGGGTGGGCATAGCTTGGACAAAACCGAAATCCGAATTATTAGAATTTTTGGATTATGGATTTAATTTTTAAAATTTTTGGATTTCGGATTGGATGGTGGATTTGGTACGTCAGATTTTTGGATATTCGAAAATCCAAATTTTTTATAATTTATATTTAGTCCATTATTCATATGCCAATAGTAACAAGTCTAATATCCTAACCATTCGATATAATCTCATATATTCAATAATAATTACTAAGTTACTATCAGAATACTTTCTATTTGGACATGATTTAATTACTATTAATGCTACTTCTTATCGGCCTTACCAATGTCTTTTTTGTACTTCCTTCATGATGATTTCATTACTTGAATTATTTATTTGGATGATTGCGGTGAAAATGAGGAACTTTTTAGGCAATTAACAAGAATACTTCATTTAGATGTTCATTATTGTATAAAGAAGAAACATCTCAAGTTATAAGCTCAAAACCGAAAATCCAAAATATCCAAACCGATTAATCCGAATAAACTTAAAATCCAATCTGAGTTTTTTTGGATTGGATTTGGATTGTCGTCATTGCCTCAATCCGACAACAACAACAACAACAACAAACCCAGTTTGATCCCAACACATTGCCTCAATCCGAAAATAGAAAAATTCAAACCGAAATTTTCATATCCAATCCGAATTGCCCGAACGCCCACCCATACAAACAACATTATTAGTATAGCTATAATAACATGTCAGTTAGTGTTAAAGGAAAGCACCCTAAGTATAATATTTTCCTAGAAAATAATTTTCATGGAAAATGAGTGGTTTTATCACTTATTTTTCCTTATTTGGTTGGTGAGTGGAAAATATTTTCCGAAATTTTTTTTCTAGTGTTAGGTTAGAGAGTAGAAAATAATTTTTTAGGAAAATTTTATGCTACTCTCCTCCCCCCTCCCCCCAACCTCTTCCCCCAAGTCTCTAAAATTCACACAAACCCAAAGGAACTAATGTGCTGCTCTATTTTTTTACGCAAAAATAACGTTGAAATTTGTGTTCCATAACTAAAAAGAAATACTCTTTTATTGGTTGAAAAAGAAAGTACTCTTTCTACAACATGAAAATAAAGTACTTATTTTATTGAAATAAAATAAAATAATTTTTTTACATCACGAAAAAAAAATACTTTTGTGTTGAAATGGGAAAAAATATTTTTTCTATATGAAAAGAAAGTATTTCTTTGTTAAAATAAAAAAATACTTTTTCATATCATGAAAAACATTCTCATTTGCTGAAATGAAAAAAATTCTCATTTGCTGAAAGTATTTTAATTGATCTTCATGTTGTTGCATCAAGTTTTAATATACGATTAGTAATTTTATGTTCGTGCGCTATTTTATACTGGACAAAATTACAGGCTAGTTTGAGGCGTAGTTCTTGTTGTTGCTGTTGTTGTTGTATAGTTTCAACTTAAAATTTGGCCACTCAATACTAACAAGTTAATGTTAAAAATCTTGTGTGGTAAAGTCATTCTTTCAAATCTGAATAACAAAAACACTGAGAGTGTTGGTGTTAGTCGATTTCTAGAAGTTTCCGACAAAGAAAGTTGAGAGATGAAGTGTTTTAGGTTCTGGTCTATGTCCGATATTTCTCAGCCTTTGTATATACATATTTGGATCGGGTTTTGCTCTTTGATCTGTGGAGAAGATATGGGCCTCATTTATGTTGGGCTGCCTTATCTACATGGCTTAAAATAATTACTGCAGCCCAATGCCATGTGTTCTAGAAGATCAGAGAACAAGATATATACACCCTGTAAATAGCATTTTATATTTCTTGTATTTATCTGACAGGTTAGTTATAGTGTAGGAATTTTTCAGTTATAACTTAGCCATTAGGTGCATGCCACTTGGCATTTCTGTTTTAGCCTAGATTCTTTTATTCTTTTATTTATACCTTAGCCTT